AAGTTGTCACTGTGTAGTGACGTAACTATTAGGAGCAGAGGATACACTTGCTTCCCACATCAGGTGTAATAGTATGGGACATAGAATACCATGATCCATATTCACTGTGGTCACAGTTGGGTTTTCCTTGCAGGTCTAAGGAACGGATAAGAATTTATTCCTTACTATGTGCACAGCAGTACCTCAACAAGGGAAAGTGGATCAAGTTGAGCTTGCACCATATATCACTCACCCCAGAAAGCCTTTTGGCCTGTAGCTGTTCCCTAAGTAGTTTTATCTTTAGTTGGCTTGTAATATGTAGCTTGATGAGATTCCTCTACTTTCCTAGCCAAAGCCCTGAAGTGTGCAGCTCCATGATGATGTGCCGTGATGGCTGATGGCTCCAGAGAGGCTCCTCAAGATACTGCTTCGATTTCTCAGCCAGAGCATGTGGGTAACCTGCCTTAACACTCTTGACCTTCTGTCTCCATTAAACTGTTTGCATCTGAATTGATGAAACTGGCAAGTGCCTTAACCAACCTCTGGCTTAATTAGAACTTAAATGCTTATCAGTCAAGTATCTAAGATAGGACTGGAAAGAAGGGAAACGAGATTCATGTCAGTAGATAATTATGAGAAGTGGTTGGAGCTTGAGAAGTCCTGTGGCACAAGAGTAATCCCTGTAAGAGGTTATGCACCTAGGAAATGAAAATTAAACTGCTGAAGTGGGAAGAGTGGAGTGGGGAGTAAGAGGATTCTCACTGAGACCTGATGACTCTTTGGGGTGTCCAAAAGGCTCATGTCAGTTCTTAGGTTACTGGAAGTTAATTCAACTCCCCATTAGGTTAACAAAGAGCAGCAAACAAGCACTCTGAAATATCTGCTCATTGCGTATGATTTATTCTTAGTTCTGCCGTATTTAGGACTGCAATAGAGAGTCCAGGTGTTGCTGCTAAAGACTGTCAAACTTGTGATTCTGCTTCCTCTCTGACCTTCTGATTTCCCTGGACAACAGGAATGCTACAGAAGTATCTATATATTTTTAAGGTATTAGGCTTGATTTAGCAGTCCCAAACAAGCTGGCTCATGCTAAACTCCAAGTTTGCTTTATCAGCCTCCTAGCATGCCCTTAGGTTAGAGTCAGACCAGTGTTGTGACTGGAGAGTAGTACACCGAGGTGTTTCCCCTCTGTAGGCTCAAAAATACTCATGTGCTTGCTTGGTTCAGGTTATGCCTTTTCAAAGGGACACAAACTGAAAAAACAAGTGCTATTACCAACTGTAAATATTGCCTTCTCCCCTCTTTGGCCGAAAATGTCACACCTCTAATGGCTTAACAAACAAGGCTAGAAGGGAAAAAATATTTTTCCTTTGTGTTTACTTTGTGCTTTTTACAGCTCTGAGTGCTGTCAGTGTCACTGTTTCCCCTTTATTGTCCAGTAATTTCCCCTCTTGTCCACGTGGGTCTTTCCCACAACAGAGGAGAGAAAAACAAGTACAAAAAGTAGGAAAACACTATTGTAAAACCAAAGAAAGAGGGAGTCTGCCTGTGCTGTGGGCAGGTGGAAGGTCATAACTTTTTCACACGTGAAGCAGAGATGAAGGTGATAAGGACTCTTTAAACTTTCTGGCATTAGCTCAACTCATGGAAAAAGCAGACTTTTTGGCTAAATTTCATACTGCTCCAGCGGTAGCCTTTTGCTGATGGCTTTTCTGTCTCCTAGGACCAGATTGTCAGCAGCTGTAAACAGCACTTTAAAGTTCAGCACACAAATTTTCCAATGAATTTAGCCTGTTGGCTTCAATGCTTATTTTGAAAATCCAGTTCAGATCAGTGCTGATAACTCAAAAACTTTTTCCAAAGTCACATCCATTTCTGCAGTGACCTTGGGTGGGCCAGCTCTTTTGTCAAGACTCTCTGGAGAAGTACTTGGAGCTATTTTTGGTGCTGTATGGAGGCCCATCAGCTAGGAGGCTGATGCTGAATGAAGCAAACTTTGATTAGATTTTTTTTTTTTTTGGCTATAATGATCATGAAACAACAAACCGTTGTTTGTCTTCTCCAAATTTGCATTCGAATCTCCTTTCTTCTTCCCTTCCTTCCTTCCCCCTCTGCTTGGTCTCCATCAGTTCCCCTTAAATTCTTAATGTCACATAGACAGGGAGAGGTCTCAGTGTGCTTTTCCCTGCATTTACCCGCCGTCTGTTCAGTTTTTTTGTTTGTTTTGTTGGGATTTTTTGTTGGTTTTTTTTCCCCCACCTGTGTCCAGGATCCTTCACATGCAGCTATTTCCAATACAGATACCTAAAGCTTCTGGAACTAGTGTCCAAGGCTGCAAGGACCCTCCTATGGCTGCTCAGACTATGTCAGCCAAAGGTTTCCAGGCTTCCCATGAGGAAGACCTTGGGGCTGCCTAGGGCATGCTTTCACTTTGGCTTCCACAGAGGAGTCCCTGAACAACAGTCCACAGAGGTGACAGGCTGTTTAATTTCAGAAAATTTTAGGCAACTAAACTTGCACTGCAGCTCAGCTTATCTTCTGTACTGAAAGGAAAATGGCTCACTTTTCCCAGATGGGGAAAATCCATGTTTCAGACTAGTTCTGGTCAACAAACTTATTCTTCCCCTCCTGCCCAAGACTTCAGCTGCCTGAGAAAGGTGCCTCTGAGGAGATGGCTTCTGTCTAGGAAGATGTTTCTTTGTAAAGCTGGGTTCATTCTTTTAAAGCCTAAAAGCTGGATAAGACTGAGAGAGGGGTGGGGGCTGCTGGGGGCAGAGAAGAGTGAGACTCTGTGGGGATCCAGAACAGAGGAGAGAGCTACAGTTCAAACCTGACTTTGCATTTCACTCAGAGAGAGCCAGGTGTCCCTGTGACTCTTTGAGAAGCACTCAGAGCTGCTCTTAAAGTTGGAAGCAAAGCTGAAACTCCCTTGTATGCAACGTGAGCTTTTGCAGAGGTTTTACACAAGCACAGAAAGTCCTAGTGTGTTTGGGCCAAAAAGCCAAATAATCTCTTACAGGGTCTAGCCAAGCACTTGCATTTTTCACCTACTCGTATTGTTTGTATTCTTTGGCATTTGCGGATTAACCTGTAAATAAAGTTTGACATAGTCTTCCTTCTTTCCACTGTGTGGTGTTGTTTGGTGTTTGTTTGTTTTATTTTTAAACAACCCCTCTGTTGCCCCTCATGTTTCTTAAAAGATCCTGAGACGAGAGAGAATGGATGGGGTGGAAATATCTGGCGTAATTTGGGATTGTATTTGACTTTAGCTACTTCATTAATCCAGCACTCTAGTCATTATGATGCACTTTCTACTGGACAAACTCGTGGAATTGCTCTACTTCTAGCACACAGGATTTCACCAGGACCAACAGAGGCAGGAACTCTGATGGCTGATGCTTTCTGCATTTTGTTAAATCAAAGGCACTGAACAAGAAAGTCTTTGTTCCTTTGCCTAAACTGGGGACCTAAACTTGTTTTTGTGAAGAAAAGTCTTTACCATGTTCAGGAAAAGATGCCAACTTGAAATAAGAAGAGAAAAAGATTTTTTAATTTCATGTATTCAGACCTCCTCACAGGTAAAAAGCACATCTAATATCAACTTCTTAAAATATTTGCTCATACCCTGTCAGCTCTCCCTACTCAGGTGCTTGCTGTGGAACTGGGGGATCAGCATTCTGCTGCAAACAGCCTGTGAATGCTTTTTTAATAAGTTATTACATTGTCTATGATGAATCTATTCCTTTTTGGGCAGCGCGGGTGGTATGCGTGAACAAAAAGCTGTATTTCTGCCTCGTGTCTTTCTTGTTTTCCAATGGCCATGAACACTTACTGTCAGCAACACACTCTGTGTTCCCCTTCTTTAAATGCTGGAAGCAAAGGGTTTCCAGCAGGAGCAGGTGCTTTCAATTCAGGAAGAATTTCTTCATGAACAGGGTTGTTAAGCATTGGAATTGATGGAGTCACCATCTCTGGAAGTGTTGAAGAAAGGACTGGATGTGGCACTTAGTGCTATGGTCTAGTTTGTAGGGTGGTGATTGGTCAAAGATTGGATTCGATGATCTTAGAGGTCTTTTCCAAACTAAATGATTCTGTGATTCTCCTTGGAAGCTGCCATATTTTGCTTTAGAAGGATTAACTGTATGAGCCCGCAGTCTATACTTGATCTACACCTGCTGCTGAGGAAAGTGCCTAACTGACTGAAGCGACCAGGCTTGCCAGAGATTTATTGGTTAAATCAATAAGTCAAGAGCTACAACTAACTTTTAAAAGCCTGCAAGATACAGGCTAAGGTCTACAGACTAAACACTGGTCAAAACTACATGATGTTAAGAATGAAGTTGCACATGAACATTTCATTTATAAAGCATTAAGAGGCTTATCTCAGCAGATCCATCAACAGCCTGGATCATAACCAAATTTCTCTATTCAAATTCTCTACCACATAATTTTCATTGTGTGCAAGCCGTGCGCTGTAACGGTAGCTGTGCGGTCAGCCGGTTGTGACCTGTCACCTGACCCATGACAGGAAATAAAGACCATATTTTTGCTGATGCTTGTTCTTTACCCAGAGCAGTAAGAGTGAAGCATGCTTCTGGCCTTCATCCTACTTTGGAAATCAGTGCTCCTGCAGTGCTTATTTCTCTTGAGTTTAAAACAATCAAAGCGTGTTATTTTTTTACATCTTTTTTCCTCCCCACCATTGTTACTGGTTGTGTTGGAAAACAAATGAAACCTGCAGGATTCAAGATGCAAACCTGAGCAGGCATCATGTAGTCCCAGCGCAGTTTAGTCAAATTACCACAGAGGAGTGCAGCTGTCAGATTTGGTTAGGGAAGTCTATGAAATTACTCTCTTGTTTTGAAAGCTTATAACTTCATGAGGATATAATAACTTAAATTTTGTAGGACATTTTATAACTGAGTGGCTTTAGTCAGAGCGTGTGCTCTCTGCCTCCCCGCCCTATTTTTGTGGGAAGATAGGGTAAGAAGACTAACACACGTGTGCCAATATGGAATGTATCTTTCAGGGTTGATTTTGGGCTGTTTTATTTTGGTTTTCTCTCTTTTTCCAGATGAAGGCTGTGCTCCTTCAATAACTTAATGCTTCTGCAAAAGGCAACTTCAAACCTGCTTCCTGGACCATTATAGATTCAGATGCTAGATCCTACATTAGCGAACTGCTAATTTGGAGGTTGCTCTTCAGTACATTTAGTCTTAACATGTACAGGCTGCTAACCAGAGAAAACTATCACATACACATATATACACACACACACTTAAAACTAAAGTGTTTATTGCATGCTCATGTTACTATAACCAGTGCTGGCAAGATGACCCCTCTCTATTGCGATGTAACCAGACAAACACATAGTGTCTTGGAATTCCTTCCCTTTCAGCCACATGCTGCCTATTTGAAGGATCCCTAGTCTGGTAACTGGTGTCACTATGCTGAACACAAATGCATTCACTGTAACAACATAAACAGGGTCAAATTTCAAAACCCCAGGTGCACAAAGAATTTCAGTATAGAGGACTTTGTGAAAGGTTTTCATTTGAGATTTAATCAACATACACACCTACTTCTTTCCTTAAATTATCGTTGCAAGCCTCTGGAAAGGAGTGTTATTGAACAAACTTAGATGCTTGGCTTCTGTCCTCACCATTGTTGTTGCTGGCAGACATACCGAAATGATGCAGTACACTTAAAGGGGGCCAAATATATCCTCACTGGCGTGTAGAGGAAGTTTCCACAGAAGTCATACAAAAGAAAACACTGAGTGCAGAGGTCCATTCTGCTGTGTCTGTGCAATGTTCATCCAAATGGTTTACTCATGAGAAAATAAATAGTGCTCTATAACACCTTTCAGCTAAGAAAACAGGCAATGGTTGGATTTAAAAGTACGAGGTATAAGAACACTTCTTATGGCCACATGTGGTCTATGACAGTCCACCAATGCTTGCTGTATTACAGTTGTCATCTTCAGTTTTCTTCAGGGTGAGCAATCAGCTATCCTGTAAGCAAAAGGAAATAGGCATTTACATGCTGGCAGAAGAGGTCAATAAAAACCTGAGGCTTTGGAATTATAAACTTTATGGGTGACAACAACAGAAATCAGACTAATATGCTACCCTATCCTAGACTCCTATATTTATCAGAATGGTAATTGTTGTGAATCTAACATGAACCCCAGAACTGTGCATTGCAAGGGTACAACAGTACAGAATTTGGCCACATATCTACCAGGCTATTTTAATGATTTTCAAAATGAAAAGTACCCAGCTCCTAAAAAGCACATACTGACACCAAAAACCAAACTCCCACTTACAGTGTTACAGTAAATGTGCACTGCACTGAAGAAAATAGGTAGCTGTGGATGATTCAGTATTCTTCTGACAGTAACTTATGCGAGAAGCAATGACAAATTTGAATGAAAAAGCATCCTGAAATTTATAAAATAACCTTATGAGACTTCAGACTATAGCAGATTTTAAACTGTCTTGGCTTCTTCTGGAACTCACCTCAGATTCTTGTGTTTCTGGCAGGGTTTCTATTCCATTGTGATCCTGTATATGTTGTGGGGCCTCGGCTTCTAGCTCTACATCAGCCTGTGTGCTGGGCTTTTCGTTCTCCCACTTTGCAAAGCCTTTGTTCTTCCCAGCTTTTCCATGGAATTTGGACTTCATTTTGGGGAAAGTATGGGAACCTGAGTCGTTCCAGCCTGGTTCATGCCAGAGTGGTTCTGTCTGTGTTGCTTGGCTGGTGGTCACCCTCTGCAGCCGCACTGAGATTTTTCGTGAAGAGCCAGTGACTAGAGTTATAGCTCTGCCATCAAGGTCCTGGTGTTCTGCAGCAACACTGGGAAATTCAAATACTTCATCTTGGACTGAAAGAGAGGGTGGAATCCTGTATTTGAAATATTCTGCTTCAAGATCTTTACAAAAGGATAGCTCAAGCCTGGGGCAGGGAGGTAACTATAGGAAGCAGCGGTGTAATTAGCAATATACATATGCTGCTTGGAAACTGTTTCTGGCCTTGTGTGAACATATTTTTTTCTCTCACCATCTGTATGCTCAGGGGTAAGGCAACACTAGAATTGTGCCCTATGTCTCCTTGATCCTAAGTGACAAATAATGAGAAATGCAATTTCATTTCTTTTCAGCTGGGACAGGGGTGCCATTATGGAGGATAGGGTTGCTGTAATCTAAGCACTACACACAAGCCATAGTGCAGTGGAAAGTACATGTGCTACTCTGGGTGTTGATACAAAGGAAAAATTAAAAATGGCAGCAGGGACACTGGCCATTAGAGGGGATTCCAGAAATGATTTAAAATACTAGCAAAATTGCCCTCACCTGGAGGCAGAGATGGACTGCTAGGCAGAGAGCCGTGGTTACTGCCTACTGAGGTTCCTCTGGAAAATTTCCTGCATGCCAGCACAAGCAGGTCTCTGCATTGCTTATGACAGTTGGCACCACAATCTGTAAACAAAGGAATTGTCAAGTCACCAAATGGAAAGCCATAACTATCTGGTAATCCCCTAGGGCTATTAGCAGACAGATACCAGAAGATACTTTGAAGGAACAAATAGTTTGACAGAAGGTGTGAAGGGAGCTACAGAAATGGATCCTTTGGTGTGAAGGGCATTACAAAAAAAATGGATCATTTTCATGACAGCCATTAATAGAAAAATGGCAGCGGAAGGGAAGAGGGGGGATGATATTTTAATCAGAAATTAGTCTCAAGAAAGAGATGTGGAATCACTGGTATGATCATGTGTATGCCATGCATAAAACTTTTGCTCTACTGCATGAATCTCCAAAAAAGGGAGGGTTTTATTTGTTTGGTTGTTTTTTATTTGATCCAGCAGGCCCATTATAATAAACATGTCTGATCAGAAGACACTCGAGTGTCCATATCTCGAGCCTCTAGAAGGACACCTGGAGGTCAGTGTAGACCACTGTAGGTTAAAACTAGTCTAAGTAGCTCAGTAAGCAACGTTAGCACAGAATACGCTCTCTGGATATGTATCATCCACCTGGATTAAAATGGCTGAGTGCCTGCACACCTAGCCTCTGCTGGGATTTGCATCACTAGAGATACACTCGTCACTAGGTACAATTGTCTGAAAGGTGACGGCAGTATGGATTTCATCTGCGAGAAATGGCCAAAGGGTGGAGGATGTGCCCAAAACACAGGCTCTCTCTCCTTTTTGTCCCTTTCTGGTGTTTGAAAATTTCCATCTTCCTTGTTTCTCTGTTGCTCTTCCGTAGGCCAGTTTTGTTCTTGGTGAGCCATTGCCAAAGTACTGTGCTTATAACTCTGCTATAAGACCCATTTTGCTCAAGGCAGCAGCTCTAGCATGATGGGTGAGAGTTCTGGTTTCTGCCATCACCTTGTTCATATGACTAATACAGCAGTGCCTGTCTAACTGTGATTTTCTCTGTCCTAAAGGCAACACTCCCTCTGCCCTCCCGCCCAGATACAACAAAAATCTTTCTTGATGTGGAGGACCTCTTTTGTCACTTGCAGACCACACACTCAAGCTTTATCTCATTACCCACAGTGCTGGGGTAAGCAGCAGACATGAACAGATGAACTCCCTCTCCCTGCTGTGTCAGAGCACAGTATCACAGGTTCAAACAGAAGGCAAAACCTCTCTACTCAAAGGCCAAAAGTGTCCCTAATGGTTGCCACACTCCAGTGCTGCATATGGAACAGCTGGCAGCTGCTGCAACAAAGGACAGGCACCCTTTATGCTTGACTACTTTAAGATCTGAGCGAGCAGCTCAGCTCTCTTACTTTCATGCTCCATTGCCTATAATTTTGACTGTACAGAACCACTTTTGCTCACTCTCCACTGGGCCGCTGTTACGGGCAGTGATGCAGGACGAGCTCAGCTTTCAGATCTCAAGCTGAGTTTACAGGTTGCTGTGACAAAACCTTATCTTCCTTCCCTCATCCTACTAGTAAAACTACGGAGTGCAACCAGCCCTTTTGAAGCTATGCAGATGACAGCGATCAGGAATAGCTGAATTACTTATGTTGATTTAGCCACTGACATTTCTCCTACCCGTGTCTCTGAAAGAGAGTTTCATGGGTGGAAAGAGAGACAGGAACACGGTGTATCTTAAAAACCAATACTGCAGATTCTTAATCCTTCTTGAAGTAGGACTAGGGGAGAAGAGTACATACAAATATAACTATGAAGCCCCAATGTGAATGTTCCCCTGTGAGTAATTGAGATGCAGCTACAACAGTGCCCTTCAGCCAGAGCTGGGCTGTATGAGAAATAAATAGTTCCAGGATTTTAAAGCCAATGAGGACCACTAAAATATCCTTTTTGGTCTGACCTGCTCAATATGGTGTGAGTATTGCATAAGAAACACAACATGAAGGTAAGGGAGAGGGACGTAAGAGCTCTAGGAATTTTTTTTAAGTTGCGTGTCTGGAGAAAATTCTGTGTTGAGATCTGCTGGGCAGTCTAGGAATTAAATATTTCTCTGTTTCTAGCTCAGTCACTATCGCAAGGCCAGTTAGGCTTCATTACAGGCACGTGAATGTACATGAGAAACAGTGTTGCCAGCAGGCTTTTCCCTGACCTGAATCTCAGGGGATATATTTCAGGATGTCTCGGTGTTAGAAGAGAACACTCTTTTTCCAAGTGTTTTCCAAGTTTTCCAATTTTCAGGGTCCTTATTGGTAGAAAGTGACACCTCATGGAGTCAGTGGCTGCTTTGGATCTTTAGCTCACAGAACTTGTATGTTCCTACTCATTGCTATTTTCTCTAATGCAGTAAGAACATACACTTCATAGTGTACCAGCAGCGACTGTTCATGGACAATACCAAGAGCAGATGCAAGATTTGGTTGACCATATGTCATTTTAGTTAAAGGTATGGTTGAATGACTTGTGCTAAAACCCACCACCTATAGCCTGAAAAAAATCCATATAATATTTATTTACCTTTGCATTTGTAGCCTTGTTTGATTATACCCCAGAGCTGCAAAGGAAGACAAAAGAACGTCAAGGAATCAGAAAAGAAAGCTGGAAGGAAAACAAGGTCACAATGAGGAAGTACCAATGGCTACAAAAGCACAAACAGGATACAACTGCTCTTAACACCCTTCCTGTTAGGCAGACCTCCCCCTCTAATTGTGATAAGACTTGTGTGGCTTCTCCCTTATTTCTGCTACTTACTAGTAGTAATGGGACTACCAGGGGAGGAGAGACACAGATGACATTTGCTTCCTGGAATGGATGAAAAATTACCATCATATCAAGCTTAGTGAAACCAGTAGAGCACATTCTGTTTCTAGGCTCACTTAATGTTATATGCAGGAGAATTGCCAGAGTACATCCATTCTCTAGATACATAAATGACCTACGACATTCAAACACAGCAGACAAAAATGCCACTGGGGATAAAAATTAGGTTCTTAGTTCCCATACTGGTTCCCAGCACACCTAGCCATAACAATCTGATTTGCTCACCTGACTTTTCCCATTAAAAAAAACCCCGTCAGCTGAAGAATAAAACAGGCAGAAATTCCATCCTTTGCCTCCCCTCAGAAGCTGTATTGACATACATAACAACCAAATGCTGAACTTCTGAGGGCAGTGTGTGTGGTCCCACTTTTGGGAAGCTTTCACTGCAATATGAGCAGGATTGCTTGGAAGTATGAAAATTCCCTAGCAAATTGTTTTCTATACACTCAGAAATGCTGTATCTATAGCCATGGCATTATAAAAATAAACATTTCCACTCTGAGAGGCAGAGAGAGGAAAGGGCAATTTTTCTAACTCTAGCATTAAAGGAAAAAAACCTGGGGACCGTGGTGTTTATTTTTCCTGAATTCATTCAAAACATTAGTAAGGAGGGTGAGCACATCCTGGCAGCTGAAACTGAATGTGGCTCCTCAACAGATTTATAAGAATCCATGCACAGAGAGCAGGGCCTGAATATAGTCATTAAAGAAAGGTTCAAAAAGAAGAGCTGGAGAACATTCAGAATACAAAGGAAAGAGTAAAATAAACAGAATGGACAGATTCTGGGGGAAAAAAACATCCCATACACTGCCCAAAAGAATTTGCAAGGAAAAATGTGGTCCTGAGGAAAGCAAAAATAGATTAGACAAGGTGGAAGAATGGTGAACAAAAGAACAGAAAGGACAACAGTGGAAAGGGTCCACAGAAAGCCTGCTGCTCGTTTTTCTCCTGCTAATACACAGTGAATGCAGTTGCTGTGGTCAGGCAGTGACAGTGGAATACCCCAGTCCTTCTTGAAAGAGCAGCAATGACCTATTTTCCCAGGTCTCTTTTACAGGATCACTGTAAAAGATGTGGATTGTTATTTATTTAATTTAAGTTCTAATCTGTTCCCACCAAAGAGATTTTTCCTTGCCTTCTTAGCTCTCTACCTTCCTCCTACTCAAATTTGGCATCACTCTTGTGGTTACACACCACAGTGAAAGCTTAGCTGAAGTGTCATGTCATGAATTGTGACCTAAAGTTTTGAATCTGTCTAACGCAGCTCTGCTGCAAACCTGGCTTGAGCCAGCTCCAAGGTAAGAGGATATGTGCAAATTCAGATCATAAAGCTTAGGGGGATGGCCGGTCACCTACCCTGCCATGTGGTGCAACTCAAGCTGTGGGACGGAACTGAGACTGGCCATGGGCATATCAATTTTGTGCTGCTTAATGGCATTAGGTTTAACTTGACCTTTAAAGTTCACATCGTTTTAATAACTGTGTGCATTGTGCTGTCATGTCAATTCATCCTGCAGCACAGTCAGCGCAGATTATTTTGACTGTGAATCAGTGCATCAGCTTGAAATTAGGTTTCCACCTGCAGATGAGCAGCACTGAAATGCACAACAAATACGCAGCAGATTTTTAGTCGGTTCCTGTCCTGTCAGTCCAACTCATCCACAGAACAATGCCAATGACTTCAGTGAGTTGACAGGAAAAATGACCTTATTTCCATTTCCTGTACAACCCCTTACTCATTTGTACTCTTGCACTGGGTGTAATCAGGGAGACGTGAAAAATCCAACAATGGCCAATTAGCAAACTGATGCAGGAGAAAAATATCTGGTGGAAAGGATGTTACAGGACAGTCCTCGGGCCTTGCTTTGTTATGGAAGCCTTCCAAACATGAACACATGACGTGTTCCCAAGGCTGCAGGCAGCCTGACACTATAGGCTCTGGCCAGTGACCGGCCCTGCCCCTTTGGTCTGCTGGAGCTGTCAGCTCCAGAGCCCACCACCACACTCCTGAATCAGCACTGGCCATGTCACCTCCAAAGCTTTGGCAGCTATAGCAGAAATATGTGGAATTCCCTCTTGCCCATGGCCTTGATCAGTGGCACCAGTTGTGACAGAGACCACAAGAATCTGGACAAGACTAACACATTGCAAAAGAAGTGAGTGGAAGATGGGAGCATGGACAAGAGCAGGAACACCAGTCTGAAAGGAGACACATTTCTGCACTTATCAATGCTATTGCTGTTACTTTCAACCATGAAGAAATATTGCCTAGTGGAAAAGTTTGTGGAATAAAGCTGGAGATTTTGCCACTGATAGCAGAGACAGATCCATTCTGGAGAGCAGGGACACGGTCTGAGTTCACACCCTGTTATGTGAGCCACACGTAAGCAGAGGACAGGGCCCTCTGCCATTATTGCTTTAGCTGAGAAAAATGTGGACATTTGATTTCAGGTGAATGTGTCCATTAAAGTAACTTTTTTATCATAGAGGTTCCTTTTTCTTTACTATACTTGGTTTGAAGCGGAAAACTCAGAGGAGGTTTACAAGCAACACAAATGTCCACAAAACCAATCATTTCCCAGCTATGTACAGAACATTCTAAGAAGTGGCATCTGGTAAGTTATGGCTGAGAGGAAAAGCAAATTATAAAGACCCCCAAAAAATAAATTTTAAAAATTCTTATTGTATACAACTGTTGGAAGCACTTTTTTGATTTCTTTACCAATTAGATCTGTTAATTCAATAGAGAAAAATTTAGGGCTGTTACAGCCATTCAGAGAATTATGAACATAGCTATGTTGCCATGTGCAATTTCCTGAGAAAGAGTGGCTTTTGCCTCATCTACATCCTCTGTTCCAGACATCCATTTTCCCTTGAGCTTGTTTACAAAGGAAATCAAGCCAAATTAAAGAACTTAAGATAAACCAAGTAAAGCCATTCATATAGTCTCTAATATCCTTTAACTAATGTAATTTTATTTCCCCCACCCCCACAACAGAAATTCTTACAAATGCCAGTATTCAGAAACAACTAAATCAAAACTGGATAGCACAGCTAAAACATGAGTACTTGTTTTGTGCTTCTAAATGCCGTGAGATATTATTTGGCCAAGGGACTTCAGCAATGTGCGGAGCCAGTTTCACCCCATCTACATGAAAGGGTAAAAATTGGTTTTAATATATGCTATTATTAAAAACATACTTACAAATCCTGCACAGTGCTCACAGAAAGTTGGTTTAAGATAGGTCATTTCCTGAAAGTTATGAATAAACCCTGGTCCCATTTTACACTGGAACTGTGATTTAGCTCTCAGAAAGTAAGCCATCATTTCTTCTTTGCTTATAAGACCATCTCTGTTAGGGAAATAAAAAGTAGATTAGATCTGTCACTGCTCAATGCACTGGACATTTAGAGTTTTCTCATTGCAGAAAGCATGCAGCACACAAAGCACATTCTTTGAAAGAGCTGCAACAGTCCTGGCAGGAAAAAATCATTAGAGCCTTTGTGGTTCTTATCTTTCTTTAAACAACAAACTGAACTTACAACTCAGACCTTGTTTTCTCACCTGTTCATGGTATCAGAGCACAGACCAGGCCATTAAATGAAGGATTTTGACTTACTGCTCACACAGACCAAGAGGTTATGCCTCTGACCAGGAGCCTTCACAGCCAGACATTCTGGACAACAAGAATTATCAAGCCCAACTGCCTAGAAAATATATGTAACTCCTAGAATATTTATTACCCTCTCTCTGCTACATACACTCATGTTCCTGTACACAACTTATTTGTTTCATCAGTCTGATACCTGGTCTGGATACAGAATTTTCACTGTAATTTGGCAGTACTCTAGGGTTTTGACCCAGTCCCAGCAGGAATTCTTCATTAAGCTATTACATAAATTACTTTTAAAGTACCAGGTACAGCGGGACTCCAGCCTGGATGGACTTAAAGAACTGATTACAGCATAAGAATTTAAATGATAAGAAAATTCAGCCTTCAGTGGTCTTGTCAGACACAAGAAACTTGAGAGGCATTGTTTCTTAAATATTTGGTTTCCATGAGTTTTTAAATTGAGGAAAAAAACCAAACCACCATAAATAAATCTCCAAACTTACTGGTCTTTGTCCAGCACACAGAAAGAGTCCAAAAAGGGAAAGTTGGCAGCTATACTTTCAAAGTCCTCCTGAGAAATATAACCATCGTGGTCGTGATCATAGTTCCTAAAGACAGACTGGGAAAAGAAAAAAAGATTGTTGTACTAATATCTAGCCTATCCTGAATCTATAACAGCTTCTTCAACCATGTAATTACGTGGTTCTGATGCACCCATATTTATTGGACTCTTGGGGAAAAAGTGGCTAATTTTTAAAGAAAACTTGACCTCAGTATTTATCTAGTGATGGTCCTCCACAGCTCTTCACACATAATTGTTCTTGCTTTATTTTTCTTCTTTATTGGAAATGTCACTAAAGTATACTTTTTAATCACAAAAAAAAAAAAAAAAAAGAAAGAAAGAAAACAACACCAACACAACAGCAGCTTTCCCGTGAGTATTGCAGATGGTTTTGACTTCACTACTAGTTGGTCACCTCTACTGTGTCACATTCCTCTTTCAGTCTGATTTGTTTACTAATACTTTGACCTCCAGATCACAAGCACTTTGGATCTAACAACCATTCCCTTCCATCAAACCATTCCAGTTCATCACTAAGTAAAAACAGATACAGGATCAAATTTTAAAGGTCACATAAAGTGATGGAAACCTTCTTTAGCTGCTGAAGAATTACTACATTCTGTCTTACTGTTTGCAGAGATGTGCAAGGGATGTTAAAGATACAGCAGTGTTATGCTAATGAGAAAAACATGAGTGTCAAAGTCAACATGACTATCTGAAAGACATATCGTGAAGTACAAACTCTCTCATTAGATTAAAATTTGGTTGACAAAACACTAAATTAATTTACTGAGACCTCTGAAAGGTGTTTGCATTATCCTTATTTTAACAAGAACCCAATTAAACCAATTTCTAAGTATCTTTCAAAAGACCTGTAACCGATGACTGGCAGACCTCAAAAATGCATCATTAAGAAGGAGCCAAAGCTACCCGAGCAGCATTCAACACTTTTTGTAATAAAAACAATGCCTTAAAGCACAACTCAAAGCAGCTAGTAAACAGCAAAAATTGGTAAAATGAAAACAGCTGTACAGAGTGGTGTGAGCCCTTTAGTAAGCAGTACCCACAAAAGTCCCAGACCATGTTTTAAGCCTGTCAAACTCAAGATTGTACATCCTGAACCAGGCCAAAACTGTGAAATGGGGTACCACATTTCCCCCACCCATAGGAACAAGCACAACCCCCCACCCAGCCATTCTGGAAAGGTTAAGGGGTTGTGACAGACTTCCCATTTAAACAAGCTATCAAAGAGAGGTTTGAATGTGGACTGATTTTTATCAACACATATGGCACTGAAAAAAGCAATACAGGAACAGCATGTGCATTTCTGGCATCCCACATTAAAAGAAAAATTAAACTTTTTTAAAAAAAGATCATGTACAGAAAGAAAACTACAAGACATATTTGAAGTCTGAGTGAGAGAACTAGGACTTTGTTTAAGTTATGTTAACAACATAACCCCAATTAATGATCTGTAACACAGACGAGGTCAGAATTTAATACTTCCTCTCAGACTTAGTTATTAATTTGTAAAAAGCAGAAGGAAATCTTGCTTCATTATCTACAACACATTCCTGGTACGTCTACATGCTGCTCACATCACTAAAAGTCCCTTACACACCAACACAGCAGCACTCATTCTCTCCAAAGGATTCTGGTAGTGTTTGGTTTTGTTTGCATTAGCTAACACAACACATCACCTTCCAAACTGAAGCTGGAAGATCCCAGATAGAATTCTGCAAGAACTCATGTCCACATTTTTAAAGTGACACCAAAACAATGCTATCTTTATCATATGTAATATGCTCTGGACAGTCAAATAACAGCATGTCAAAAATCAGAACTAGGGTTTCTGGAAAATTTCTCTGGACCTATTAATGTGTGAGACTTGTTTCTGAATAGTTTTGTTTCCAGTAGTCTGCTATGAGACATGAAGTGGATGGCTAAAGCTGGAAAAAACTCAACTTTGTCCTTCAAATTTATATTTGCTATACAAACCTACTGAACAGCAGCAACATTTTGAATGCTTCTCAAAGTCTGCTCCTTTGCATCCAGAAACCTGTTTACTAATCCCATTGCTGATTACAGGAATAAAATAAATATTTCTGAATGTATTAATAATGGCTCAAATTTGTTGTCACGTGTCTGAAATTCACCCCAACCATAACAACTTCTTGATAACCTTGAAATTAATTATAATGCTGAAAACATCAAAGCCATTGTCCTCTTTGACCAGTATATTATGCCAAATACTTACATCCACCAGTTTTCGTATGTGTTTATTAATGACTGTAGGGTCAGGTTTTGGTACCACTCCAGATGCCCACTCCAGTGGCACTACTGGCTTGTTAGGGGTCGTCGGGGAGGTAGGCTGCTGAGAGATGAATCAGAATGCAAGGATTTTCAAATATGAATTAAGAAGTTCAATTTCCCATTAAAAGCACATCTAAACGTCAGAGCTACAACCACAAATTGCTGGAGTCCCTGTGCTGTAAAAATGTGCTTAGCAAAACATCAGTCAAGGTTTTAGAGGGTTGCTTGCCTCCACTAACAGCTTCAGCTGGGCTTGCTGTGGCACCTCGCAGCTACACCACAAGCAGCAGTAGCAACCAGTGAGCTAAGAAGCAAACCTAGACTTTCCTCACAGGCGTCTCCAGACAGTTCAACAGCAACAAGACTCAGAGTAAGACAGAAGGAAGGAGGGTCTCTGGACATAGCATCAGAAACATACAAGCCCAGAAACCTGCTTTTTCTCCTTCCCAGTAAAGCCCTGAGGGACTCTCCACCCCAACACAGCCTGCCCTCAACTCCCTGCCAGAGGGACTGTGCCCAAGAACCATATGAGGAACTGCCATAGACTGAATAAGTTAATGCTCTTGCTCTGTGATGCACCAAGAAGAGAGCAGGATGCAGAAACAGAGGCAGCACTGTGCTCAGCAATCCCACTGGTTTGTAGCTGAGATGTGCCAGGATGCACAGCTTGATTCATTTAGACAGTCGGAGTAGAAAGGGGTTAACCTTTGACTTGCTCTGCAGATAACACCAGCCAGACTATTTTATTTTCAAACCAGCTTGGTCTTGACAAAACAGTAGCTGACAGCTCACTTGATGCACAGAACTCACAGCTCAACTCCCTCCACACCACTACAGTGCTTTGGGAGTAGCTCTGGCATGCAGCTCAGCTTCTTCAAGAGGAAAATGTATGACAAACCTGAACACAGTTTCAGGTAAGGATTCAAAAATAACCATTTAGCATGAAAAAAGCTGTAAGGCGTACTGGCCTTTTTCTGCATCTGCCACTGGACATCTAGCAAGTGAAGCAGTGTCAAGCAGAAAAAATTCAGCATGGTTTGGATCAGAAGGGGGAGAGCCCACAGTCTCAGAAGGCCCCGGTGTTAGCTGATGAGCAAAGAACCTGGGTCTCATCTATCACCCTTTAAATTGGTGTGAGTTGAGAGGGAGACAAGACACGTAAAGATGTTACAGTTACCATTGTGTATAACAATGGTATTGTAGGCTTTGACATCAAGATGGAAAATGGTCACAGCTGTATTTGGGTGGAAAAGAAAAGAAGGATTTGTTAGTGGGTTGCTTTATTAATTTGGCTTTTCCTTTTTGAATTGTTAGAACAGCTTTTATCAGCGCCTCAATGGATTTTGACCCATACAAATGTGCACAAGTAAGTTTGGGAATAAAGAATAGCTATATCAAAAGAATTTAATTGCAATAAGAAATACAGTGAACCTGTATTGGCAGAATACAGCATTGGCAGAATATTTTAATTCTAAAATTAATGTCACCACACAGTGATGGACCAACATGCTGGTAGATGCTTTCGCTTTAAAAATATGCATAAATGCAGCAGCCTTTTAGAGATGACACTCAAAGCATCTGTATCAAAAGTGTCAGCATGGTGCTAGACTACCAAGTCCTCACAGAGAGCTTTTATCACCTGCTGGTCTCAGTGCACAGTGGCAGAAAGTGACTGAACCCACTGGAGCCTTGCTCTTTCTTTTGGGATATTTCATTTGAAGCCTCATTCAATTTTTATGTTTTTTTTTTGACAATTTGCAATGAAAACTGTATGTTACTGCCTACTACCCAAAGAGAAATGTTGGTTCCTTCTATTTCACTCATAGACTTATATGAGCAATCATGATTTTATTTATGTATTTGAAATGCATGCTATGAGGAAAGGTGCTAACCAGCTGTCCAGATACTACTAAGCTGATTTTATTGAATGTTCAGAAACACTGAATCTGGTCATGCTGCTTGTGATTCACTGTATCTCCCACCTATTTCACCAGCACAGGGATAATGGGATTGTAGATTGAGAAAGTATTTTCATCTGTGTATTTTGGCATTGACATAAATTCTATTGATAAGCAAAAAAATTGTCTAAGTGTGTCTCCAGTGGCCTAATTGCACCGGGCAGAGTTGTCTTATAGACCACAGATGTACTAGTAGGAACTCCCAACAAGAAGATCACTAATGTGGAGGGAAAAGCAGGACACTGTAACAGGGAGATGCTATACTACAGCTGGCGGTCATTCTTCAGTGTTATTTTAGGCTGCTCTGCTGACTGAAGATTCTCCTCACGGTTTTAGCAGAAAGAAGGTCTTGTTCAAGTCCCTGTTGACAGCAGAATTATATGCTAAGGGATCAGCTCCACTTTTGCCTTGAAAATGACTGCAGCAGCATGAGGCACTTCCTCTGTTGTGCACCTGTGTGGGAGTGGTACCATATAACAATAAATCAAGGAGCAGTTGGAGTGGTATATCTGTGCTGCCACGTTGCCTTTGACAAATTTTTCCACATACAAAAGTTCTGCAGATTCTTTCCCCTCTAATATAGCTTGTGTGCTTTGGCACTCCATCAAAGAGAAGTATGCTTCAAATAGTCCCGCTTCTGTCGGTTCAGCTGCAGCTTTTTACCCATCAGGGTGCTGCAACAGCTCAATGTCACTGGTTATTCATTGATCCCTATGCAGAAGTATACCACAATTGCTTGGTACTGTTAAAGCTCACAGTACTGTTTATATTGCTTTTGTCCTGCTTAAAGCTAAGGCTGGAGATCAAAGCAGCAACGTGATAATTTTCTTCATTTACGGTAGTGGCGCATTAGTCCTTCTGCAGCATATGGCTGTAACACTTCAACTTTACTAGCAGTAATGAGAGCATGAGGGATCCAAAATGATTGCAATAAATGGGAACTGTTGTGGTCAAATCATATCCAAAATGACCGGAGACTCAGTAACGAAATTCCAAGTGTTGGCTATGGAAATATTCATTAACTGTTGCTCATCATCATTTGAGGACACATAGTCCTCAAACTGGTCTCCAAGAATGATAAACTATCTTAAAACCCAGAGAAACCTTGTACTTGGAAATTAAAGGGTTCTACTTCCTTGTTTGCTTTTAAGAATACTTCAAAACCTTACAAAGCACTGCAATGCATGACTTCAGCCTACTGGACTCTGCTCTCACACCCTGTGAAGCACTTCTAGCCACCCTCAGTTTCTACTGGTAACAGACTTGAGAGGGCTCAGCCTGAGAGCAATATATGCTGGATATGATGGGTAATAAAAATGTTAATGCCTTGATGAAATGCTCAGAGGGAAGAGAAATTCCAAAACTTTGGCAATGGAAGAACGAATAACAGTTTAAGTGAAATTCAACTGGTAATTATGAGATTTATCTGTATTCTCAGACTTGAGAAGAATAAAGAAAATGGCACCAACGCAGTATTATTTTTAGTTGCATATAACAAAAAAAAAAGAGTAATGTCTATTCTGATGTGTTTGAACACTACTTGAGAGTCCAAGATACAGGCGATTATACTTAAACAAACAGTTTTAAAATATTACAGCTAATTATTTGCCTTACCTTAAACAAATCTTTTAATTCAGTGTCATTTTATACAAGTGCATAGTCATCCAGAAAATGAACTAAGAGTCACACAATAAATAACTGATGTTACAAAAGATATCTATACCTAAAGCAGAACTCTGTTTTCAAGGACTTGCAGAGGTTTTGTTGAAAAGTAATTAATAGTGAAGTCTGGCATGTTCCGCTACTTACTTCTCCCAATGTACACTAAAATCTATAAATAATAACTGTATTTTCTATACAACCATAAAGCTTGTATAGAAAACACTTGTATAGAATACACTAAAAAAACCCCCAGTTTATGTGAATATGAATAACACATTAACCATCATTAAAAAAATAATCAACTGCATGCAGACAAAATAAGCAGTATGTCAAAACTCAGTAAAAGATGACCTACAGATTTGGAGTTCCTTGGTTCCAGCACCAGTGAGAGCTTGTAGATATCATCCTCAGTGTGATAGAGGTCCAGAGACAGCTATGTGTAAGAAAGAGGGAAAACCAGTATTATTTATAAGTCTGGGTTGAATATGACAGGCTTGTAAATAGAGATATACCTTCCACTGAAGCTAAACAAAAAGTTTTCCTACTCAGAGCTCAGTATGCATGCCAAAACTGCACGCAGCTGCTGGAAAAGCAGATTTTTTCGGAGCTAACATAACACACATATTGCTGCTCATGTCTGTACTGTGCTCAAGGCCTGTTACAACCCTCATCCTCACACTTTGAGGGGGGCTGCATGCTGACCTTATGCAAAGAGGGACATTGGCCCCAAAGACCACCCTTACGCAAACCACTTTCTTCTAGCAGCTCCGTGGTCATGAGGTATCTCAGAGAAATAACCTGTTGAATGCAAAAACTTCAGGAAAATAGTTGTAGAGGGGCTAAGCTGGAAGGATTTCATATCGTATTCCAGTCAAATGTTATTCCTGAAGAAGGGTTATAGCACTGCAGCTCTTCTGCAGAGACCAGTCTGTGCAAAAAGCCCTTTCTGGAACACAGGGAGGGTGCTGACACAGGCCTGTGAGAGGCAAGCTGGGTTTGCTACCGCTGTTGATGCAGTAAGGTGCTCCAGCAGGACCAATCCCATATAGCTCAGCCTGGCCTGCTCCTGATCTCCTCTCAGCAAGTAAGGCAAATTGCCTTTCAGGTTGTATTTTTAGATAAATGAAAGATTTTTCTTCCGTGTTCTCATTCTTTACCCAGAAGACTTATTGAAAAAAAAGAAGGGGCATAACTATGCTTTAAGTAGGGTGAATCTCTCTGGTTTTGCTTTGGCAGATGGGTCTTGTGCTGGTGCAGGTCTGCAGTAAATTCCTCCTCTTTTGGAGTGATGAAGGAGAAAAGTACTGCAGCTAGTGTTTTGTAATGAGAGGAAACAAACATTACATGTTTCCTGTGATCACGTGCCTACATGAATTGGCTTTGGAGTAATTGACGTGATTTGAAGTTATCATCCACCTTACAAACTCCCAGTTAAGCAAAGATTCTGTTAAAAGCATGTTCCTGAGCAGGCTGATGGAATTGCAGCTGACAAAACAACTGTGATAGAAGGTTATTTTTAAAGAACCGGAAGTACGAAGTAAGTAAAAAGCAGGACCAGTAACACTGTACTGCAGAACCAACCCTAGGAACTCTAGGAACCAAGTGTTTTTAGACAGAATTTTACGCCATGAGTAAGACAGAAGCTGTGCCCCTTCCCCAGGCAGGTTCCCAGAGTGAACAAATGGCTTTACAGATGCCTAGAGATTGAATTAATAATTCTGTCTAGCTGTAACACTATGCTGATTTTCGCGCTTTGTAATTTGGTTACGGGCACAGCAAAAGTCTGTGCAATCCTGCAGGTTCCTTTTCCCATCCAGCATGCTGCTGCCACAGGGTTATGAAAGGGCCTGTCCTAAAGATAACATAGAACTGGTAGCTGCTGTAACAATTATTGTTCATGTACTTAGCTATTCAGTGACTGTATTCTTAGGGTCCTTGGTGGTATAAAATAAGTAGAACTCAATCGGAGCACGTGATATTATCAGGTCAGGCTGGGACTGAGAGCAGAATTGCTAGTTCAAAAGGCATTGTCCTGTTCCTATGAAAGAGCACAGTTTTCTCAGCAGGGCAGGTGAACAGGCCATGGATTTGGGAGTGGAAATGCATCAGTATTACTGACAAGCTTGTATCTCCCCTTCCCTGAATTATGCAACCTTATAAGCACTGGTTACAGCTTCATTAGGCACGATGTGTAAACACACAGTGGACAAGGTGTTGTCTAGCTCAGAACTTTCATACGTTAGCAAAAAAATTACAAGCATGATGACTATGCAGTTACATGAGCACATATTTTATATTTTGTTTACCGTTTTGCTCTGATGCATAAACTGTAATAAGAGTTTTCCTAGGACAACCTTTTCAGCGAGTGGCAGTTTTCATTCTAATTTGACTTTCATTGCTGTCCTATTTTTTTCCAAGCAATTTTGAGGGGATTGAGAAGGGTAGGGGAGTGATCAGAAATGTATGATTTTTTTTTCTAAGTGGAACTTACTGAACACAAGTTAGGGACGGTGACTTTCAGTTTGATTGTTTAGGTATTTCTCATTCTCTTCACTAGACTGTACAAATGACTGGGACTTTCCAGTCATTTGCATATACTCTCAGAACGGGTTAGATAAATAGCTGTTGAGACCTAAAAATAGTGGGGGGAAAATGATGGCACCAAATAAGTTCTACCACAGTTAGCATAAATACATTGTGGTCTAGTTGAGAGACTGAGATCCACTTCCAATCCACAGAAAGTGATGAAACATTTACTCACGGGCTTTTATTCACATTGTGAAATAAAAACAATATAGAAATACTGCAGAGCAGGTAAGGAAATCCCTTAAGCATCCTTACGAAAAATAAGTTTTCTAATGACAAAAATGTCATTAGAGCTGTTATTCCTCTCTGCTGCACTGCCAAGCTCATGGCTAGGTCCTCTTTTACTAATTCTTAGCTCCATGTTTTTAATTCCAGAGAGTGGTACGGAATCAAGTACAAAGTCGGTGGAGATGGAGCGAGTGTGGCCAATAGGGCAAGAAAGGAGGAATAACCTCACAGACAAAGAGCAAGCAAGTATTAAGAAGTGAGTCCATCTTCATGTAACATACTCTGGCTCACTGGCAGCTGAGTCGTGACACATTTACTTTGCTTGCCCATGTAACACAGACTTATTTACACAAGACAAGGGAGGACTTGCTTTTTCCTCGGCTTTTGCAGTCTCCTATGCTGGTAAACTTGGCATATATGTCACTGCTGTCCATACAGCAAACTTTTCCCTTATTTGTGGCATGTTAACTTCCACGCAAAATGTTGGCTTCTTTCAGCCACTTGTTCAAAGCTAAAATTCTTTGAGATAGAAGCTGATTTTTTTGTGCCAACAGCAAGATGGGGTGGGGTGGAGAGGGTTGGGGGTGGGGGGAAGCAGACTTCTAAGTTTGTGTGCAGACGTTTAAGACTAGAGAAGATCAACTTTCCAAATCGCTGATCATTCAGCAGCTACCACTGAAGCCAGAGACCTATTGTTCCCCATTCATCCTTTTGGTCTATACACACAATAGCGTCTGAAAAATGGCTGTAAGCCCCTTGACCAGGTGGCCTGAAGTTTACCATCAGGCTTTCACTCCAGCTTTTAAGCCAAGCTCTCCCTTCATAGCTCTTAACAGACGTTCCCCAAACATCACCATTTCCAAACCACTTGAAAGGTGTCAGCTCCCCCAGAGCAAATGAGGCTCCATCACTGAGGAAGAGAAGAAACAGGGCATTTCCCCACACGCCTATTTTATCTTTTTGTGCAAGTTGTTGGACTAGCAAACCAGCACCCAGTGATTTACTTGTCAAGCAAGCACAGGCCAGGCTGTTAGCACTGGCTAAGTGTGGTGTAAAAGGCAACATTGCAAGGGAGGGAGGCCAGGCAAGAGATTTACACATTGCTTATCAGGACAAGACACCTACTAAAAGCTTGCCCAGATAGAAGCTGCTTAATCGAAAAACAGCAGAAGTGAACAAATAGTTGGGTCAGCCAATTCACATGCAAATGAAAAGCACTCTATGCATATAGATGCCTTTGCCAGATTTGAAAGGGAGTTTCTCTAAATAAGGCAAAATGTGAAAAAATTTTACAGTTTAAATTAGAGAGGGAAGACCTAGGAATAAAAAGAATAGTTAATTCTTCAGGTTCTGAAAACTCAAGATTACTTTGGTAGCAAGGGAGGCTAAATCTGCTAAAAGACCGTTTACACATAGCAAGGTCAACTATTTTTAGTTGTCAGTTTTTGTCAGCTTTAGGTTGCAATCCTTTTCTTCTCCTCTTTCTCTGACTCCAGCCTCTAATTTAAAACTTTCTGTTTAACAAAAAGATAGACAGAAACATTTAATCTACTATGTAAGTCCATTATTACTGGACGTATGTTGTTTGAGAGACCACTGTAAAAAAAAAAAAGAAAGGTATTGTATTCATATGCATAGATGAGGACAAAACCTACATACTGAAAGAAAAACAAGAATATTCATATTATGATACGTACCAAAACTCTGTAACTTTTTGTAAAAATGTGGTTTTTTTCCTTCCCAGAAGTCACCATCTTAAATCAAAACTCCCACACTATCAAGTGTACTTGATACACAACCACACTTCCAGTGACTAATATGAAGAGATAATTACCCTGGAAAGGTTTTAGAACACCCACAGCTGTTTACCTAGATATCTATGGCTGTCACCATCATTACATAAACGTACAACCATGGAATCATGCTAACAGGTAAAAAGTAGAACAAGTTAATTCTAGCCCATGATCAAGTCTTGAATCAACATTGCATTATGTAACTTCATTTATTACAATCAGAATAGCTCAAATATAACAAAACCAGCAGATTTATATTATGAATTAATATATCAGAGCATCTTAAGTGATGAACTACCCATCATGTACACAACTACTTCTCATGGTAAATGAAATACACTGAATTAAATACAAAAATACAAATAAGATCCCTGTCATCTTAATGAAAACAAAAAAACTCAAGAAAAATATTTCTTTTTCAGAAAGGAAAACTAGATATACTATATGAACTCAGGTTGATGCAATGATGGATATGAACCTTCAAGGTTTCTGCTCCTTTTGGAAAGCAGCCTGTCACCAAAAAGAGAGAACAGCTAATGAAAGTGGCAGCAGCAGTTCAGCTTCCATCTCTCACTTCACATTGTCTAATTTCTGCCCTTCTGGACTTACTGTTTTATTACTCATTTCCCCAAAGCCTGAGGTTCCACTTCCCCCCACCTCACAGCCAAGTTTGTAAGAAATGACCAGGAAGGGGAAGAGTGTCACAAGAAATCAACTCTCAATCAGTAAAGAAACAAAAAAAAGACAATAAATGTCTGCCTTTATAGTCTAAAATTTAAATTAAGAGAGCACTGCAGTGGTCAACATACGGTGTTTCTCTTCTCTGCCCAGCTAACCAGGATTAGGACTTGTTCCACAAAAGGTGCAACTGGAGAAAGGTTTTCCTATTCCTCCAAATTTTCCCAATCCTCATTACAATGAATCCATGGGTATATCCACACCAGCTTGGTAGCTCAGATTCATATTTGTCAGCCTCCATAGAGTAAAGTTGTGTACCTGATCAGTTCCAGCATAAATCCATCACGAATTATAACCACTGCTTACTTTCTAGATATGCATATTTTAGAGTATTTTGAAGTAAGGCATGGAAGGAAAAAATCCAAGGCTCCTCCCAGTGTGACTTCCAGTAAAGGTATTTACCTATAGTGAGTTAGGTAATGAGAGTCACCTCCAGTCTGTGACATGACTGAGGAAAAATTGGAATTTGGTTCCCACCTCCCCAGGAAGAGGGGGACAACACTGAGACATTGACTGGTTTGGTAACAGCTATTCAGAGATAATAAAATTATTTCCCTGGTTTTTGATCTAGATTTTTCTCTGTCATCTAAAAGAGAAAAACATGGTCTCAAGAAGTTCATGCCATACGACAAAACAAACAGTGGAAAAATTCTCAAATTTGCCCTATTTACACACAGACATTGTTTAGTTCTAAGTTTATTTTTAGAAGAATTACAGTGATTTAAAGAAAGCAAATAAATTTTCTTGTATGGATTAGAGATCTGAAAGACAAAATTAAATAACAAGAACAGAAACAGCATGAACTGATTACATATTAAGAAAGTCCTTTATCTAACATGACATTTTTCAGACTACTCTCAGGTGAGCAGGTGACTTTTATTTGCTTGCAAGATCAACTATTTTATAAAAAACAGAACGATTTATTCTTCAAGCTTCACAGGTTTTATTTTTAATTCCAAGATACTAGGTTTTTCCCATGACCTGAACAAATTGTGGTGCTGAATCAAACACTGCTGCAGTTGAGACCAGTGCTAAAATAACTACATTTCAATAGGAACAGGATTTGGCCTGAGGGTTCAGGCTCCACACTTCAATACGATTTGGAATAAAGTGTAATATTTCTCAAAATGGCATTTTTTGTTTTAGTTAAAAAAAAAAGTTTTACACAGCCTTTTTGAGATCTCACTTTCCTTTGGTTTGAAATGGGACATTCAAATTCTTATTTTTAACTTGTGCGTGCAAGTTTCAAACCTCCTCAAATGTCCTCATTAACAAGGAGAAAAGGGAGGGTAAAGGAGGAGCAGTTTCAGTGGCTGCTTAGAAACATTCAAGAACATATTATTTACTGGATAGGAAAGGTACTGTGTCACATGGAAAGCACAGGGGAGCAAGAACAGAATGATACTCAAGTTGAAATTTCACTTGTGTGTCCATGTCAACACGTCATCCACTCTTTCACAGGAGACATAAGACTCAATTCTAAGTAGTCAGAACTTAGTTTTTGCTTCTCCTAACATAAATACAACCCTCTTTCTGTCATTCTTAAAATAATTAATTTATAACAACACTATTGGTGCTTCCAGCCATCACATACTACAGTAACTCTCTTTGACTTCGTTAACTTCTCATGTGAACTTGTTTCTGTTTTGAATTCTCTCTGTTTTCTTTTTCAAAACTGGGATAATGATATGCACTTACCTTTATAGATATGAATATTCCTACTGACACTCAACATCTGAATAACAGCAGTGAATTGAAACATGTTCAGTACTTACGGTTAGCAGGTTAATTAAATCCATATTAGGCTCTAAATGATGAGAAGCAGTTTGCAGGGAAACCAGTTCACTCAAGGTGATGGAAAGCTGCTGCATTTTCACTATGTTAACTTTGTTCTCATCTATCCAATCAGGGAAAATGACATGGACAGCAATCAAGTCTTTCAAATGGACTCCTAAAATAGGAATTTTGAAGCCAACACAGTCAGCAAAAGCCTTGCGGTAGTTGCAGTAGTTTCCATTGGAAGAGACCAGCTCTGTCATTTCGTTCCAGTCCTACAAATAGCCAGAGAAGCAAGTCTCTGTGAAAGCATTCATAACATTCCCTTAATCTGTTTTAAATGAGTACATCTCATGTCAGGGTGTCGACAGTGTGATTTCCCTCTCTGGCACAGGCAGTTAAAGCTTATCCTGCTCCACTGAGAGGAATGCAACCAAAGTACCTTTTAGGATGCCCTGCCATGATCCAAGTATTGTGCTGGTGAGACACCTGCAGTGCAGAACCCATCAGACCTCAAAGAGGTGATATTAGGCTCAATATGTCTGTATTCTGGAGTCCACCATACCTTTGTGACTTCTGAAGACAAATGAGAATGAGTTTCTTTCAGGCGAGAAATAGAGCTGTGGCTTAGACCTCCCACAACAGCCATCAGTGTGTTGAAGTTCTGCAGGTGAAGGAGCTTCTGCAGGAGAGATTGATCATGTGTATTTAAAAGTTAAGGAATTACATGTATCAGCTGTTTAGCGTCACACAACATGCTAAAGGAGACAACCTATCATGGCCAAAGCAGAAATCAGGGGATGCAACAGAACGGTTCTGCATTTTGGTTTTTACTTAGCTCAGCTCAACAAGAAACACACAATAGTGACAGTTGCCAGCTAGCATACAAAAAAGAAAAATTGTTGTATAGTTATGTCTACTAGTTAAAAAATGCAGACATGCCACACCTGAACAAATAACCTGCAGTGATGTTGACCAAGCTATTCACTGAGGAAACAGCACAAAGAGCATCAGCTAATTTGTTTACTGCAATCTTTATTTATATTGCTGCTTTATACTGGAAGGAAAAGACTCATACACAAGACTTACCTGTGCAACATTGATGAACTTTGTGATTACTTCTCCTCTTTGCTGGGGTGTTGGTTTGCTGAGAACCATGAGCTGGACCCATTTGGAGATACCATTAAATAAAGCAATAGATCTCTCCAAAGTAGGATTGTTCTCCAAGCAACCATGGATCACATAGCTTTGGTAGTCTGTGAACTAATAGAGAAAAGGCATTTTCAGTAAAATGGCAGACAACAGAAGAATCAATTTGAAACTTTGATCATTTTTTTCTTTTTAAAGCTCCTCTTATTTAGAAAGTGACCATGACTCAGGGTCATCAGACCCCACTGCACAACAGCTCTTTCTTAAAAGCTGTTTGTTGTTTTTTTTGTTTAATTTCTTACTTAAATGTTAACTCACAACTTGTTTGCGTGTCAGGAAATATAGAAACCTGTGTATGCATAATGAGCTACTTTCCTCTTTCCCATATTTTACTCAACACAACATTTTATTCTGACATCCTTAAGGCATGATACTCTATAGGCTCCCAAGAATTAAATTTCCCTAAATGTCTGGAAAACATTTTTCAGCTGTCCCTTAAAGAGAGATTTGCAGTAGCTTATGACATAACTTTAGCTTGAGTAGGAGGTTGCTAGCAGTACCAGGCAAGATGGGATTCTTGGTCTTAGCTGATCAAAACCAGCCTGCTAGAGGACATACAAGGGCAGATGCTTGCCTCAGAGCTGCAGAAAACCAGTATTTTAGTATTCAGATAATTTTAAATGTTTACAGTTATAGTTAACACTGCCCTTCCTTCTCCATTTATTTTTTAAATAGATAAACACAAAGACAGAATTCAGACTAATCACATTCTACAATTACATATCTTTGAGAGAACAAGTAGTACAAGAATAATTAACTCTCATTGGTTGCAGAGAAACTTCTGAGACAGCAAAATTCAAGCTAAAGAATTAAAAGACAAACTAGAAACAGCAAAGAAAAAAAGAAAATTAATTCCAATTTTGAGTTTTCTTTCTAGAATTCCAAAGGAATTAAAACATTTCCTAAATCTAATTAGAAATCCATGCCTTTTTTCTTGTCCTTCCCTCCTTCTTTGAGGTTAGCATTATACAGATAATGGTAGGGTGTTTTCCCATGATTTAAAGTCTAGAGTAATTAACCTTTGAACATTATTAAACTACATCAAAAGTTATTCTATTTAGGCTGGTCTCAGGTCCTCATTGATCTCTTTTTCCTTCCTCTCTTGAAACAAACAAAAAACCTCATATATTTTTCTTATTTTTGGAGTTCAATTTCTTTCATGTTCCTAAACACATTCAAAAAAATCTCATTTGTCATCTTGAGGACTTACTGCTTGCATTTGCCATCACATACAACGGCGTCATGTGACCCTTTCATATGGATATCTACCAGCAGAAATCAGCAAATTTTTTCGGCATTTGGCTTACACATTTGTTTTGTTATAGCTTCTACTTTTATTTTCATCCATTTTTGCCTCTTGTCCTTGTACAATCCTATGTGAAAAGAAGCTACTGTACCTGAATTTCTCTCAGTGCCTATATGGTAGAAGTAGGAAAGAGAAGTTGTGCAGCCTCTGCTCTTGCAGAGTTTCAAGGGTTTCAAGACCCAACTGCCTAAGTCTCTGAGGAACGCGGTCTATCTCAGAGCTGCCCCTGCTTTGGACAGGGGGTTGGCCTAGAGGCCTCCTGAGATCCCTCCTGACCTGAAGTTGGCAGATGAAAGGACAGTTTCTGAATAAGTGGTTGGGAGTGAACAGAGACTACAGAAGGACAACGTATATCTCAGTCTCTTAAAATATTCTTTGCAAAGACTCTATTGTTTTCTGAACAGTAATTAGTTATTTCCTTCAAAGGGAAAAAGAAAACATGTGAATATTTTTGACAATACTATTAATCAATTGCTGTGACATGGCTACTGTAGCTTTTATCAGTAATTTTTGCCCAGAATATCTCCACAAAATTAGCTTTTGTCACTAAAAGCATCAGTTATGAAAAAAGTCTAGAAAGTGCTAGTGCAGCCACGGCTATGTACATCATATGAGGGGTTATAAAGATTTACTACATTGGAATGTTGAGGAAAAGAAAAATCATAAATGTTAAACCACGTGAACACTTCTTAAAGACAGGCTCTTAATTGCAAGTGACAAAGTTGTAGGCTTCTTACAGAAATTCTCCTAAAAGATTTATGCTCCAGAAAAGTGAGATGTTCAGCTAGCTCAATGGGCTCCAAATGGTCAAACAGCAGGCAGGCTTTTCCTTTCTTGGAAATCCTCTTCCTCTGTGTAACTCTTCTCATCCAGTCATAGGAAGGACTGCAACAGAATAGGTATAAGTCTCAATCTTGTCTGGGTATATGTGAGTGTAGCCCACAGGTGGAACATATTTGTGTAAAATTACCAATAAACAGACCATGAGTTTTCTGATCTGTGACATCCAGCACATAACAAACACTCTGAGTAAGATCTGTTCAGGAGCATAACAGAAAATAAAGAGTTTTGGATGCACTACTGCAAATGATAAATAATAGCAGGTTTCCAACACAACAAAAGGACAACTAATTTTTCCCCATGGTATAGGAAGCCGTAATTAAAGATGCTTTGGAAATACCAGAACAGTTCACACCAAATTCTGATACAGAATAAAAATATAATTGCATAACATCAAGGATTAATTTTCACTCTGTAAGATCACAGGTCCCTGAAATAATGGAACAACAGAAACAGCCAAACAACTAACAAAACAATAAGAAGTGGGTGGAAAAAGGCAAATCATTTGCTTGCAAGCAATGGAATAATTCCTACCCATATACAGTAAAAGCACTTCAAAGAGCAGAAGGATGTTATCCTTAAAAATGGTTAATTTTTAATGTTAAGTAGGTCAATATTTTAAAACGAAGATTCAAGAGGCAATATTCATGTGATTTCATTGGTACTGTTCTTGAAGGAAGTCTTGCAACCTTCATTGACATTAGTAGTGCTGTCCTTCCAGGTTACTAGGACATTTTTCAATAAAGAAAAATCACCATGCACATATATTCTAAAAGAAAATCTAAAATATCAGGTGAGATACAAAAGCCTACCTGGTGATTTTTAAAAGGTAACTTTTGTTTCAGCATGTCAAGGAAATAGTAGTGTAATCATTTGGATGCAATACAACTACAAATGCGAATGCTAAAGATTATCCAGTTAAATCATAGAAAAGAAGTACACAGAAAGCCACTACAAAAAATAATGGATTACTGATGAAAGAACAAAAAAACTTCCCTGAAAAAATCTAAGATTTACACAGCATATCAGTCACTGCATTAGTTGTTATTCTGTATGAAAATGTATAGAAAAAAAAGTAACTTTAATCACTTAATTGGCACTAGCTTTGTCAGGAAAATAATTTATTTCCTGTTTATATGAAAAACTTACACACAAATGAGTCTTCTCTTTACAGTGAAACTGCAACTAGAATTTCAAATTTTTAGCAGCTTCAGATTTAAAGACAATATATTTTGCAACTGCTTTTTGACCTTTCAGGATCAAGATGGCCCTTAATGTTTTTATATTTTGTACAGAACTAGAATTTTGCTGTTACAGACACAAAGATGTTGTAGCTTATGACATCCTTACATGCTGGAGATATCAATAAGATGGATGTGATCGTCATATCCGAGCTGGCTGGCTACTTCTCGAAACTCTTCAGTCAAACGAATCAGCCCAAGATCCAAGTTAAACTCTGCAGGAAATTCCAAAATCCAGTATCTGAAATCCATAGACAGCAGTTAAGAGATGCCCAGGGACTTAGGCATAACGTTCAGTGGCTGCATACATATACATACATTTTATTTCATAGGACACATTTCAGACCCACTTGTCTTTGGGCAGAGTGCAGACTACCTTATCCTATTGCTTCTGTAATTATCTGTGACACTGAAGTGGCAAAAGCCACCTTATCTTATAATTTTCTTTGCTTAACTCACCACTGCACAACAAAGCAGCATTCTATTGAAATGCAAAATTAAAATGATGTCTAAGGTGACACACACAAAAATGTCTTAACTCATGCCGTCAGAACACCCGAATGACACTTGCATTTAGCCGTTGTTCAAGTGAGACACTTTGTTTGCTCAGAAGAGATTTTTCAATGAAAATGAAAACGTAAATTTGAGTGGCAATTCTACCACAATAACTGTGTAAACCAGATGTAATCCATGTAAGCTTACATGTAAACCATATAAGCCTCCTCTGCTTTAAGAGGGCATGGAAAAGGCTTTATCAGTTCTGCTCTTCATGACTCCTTTCCTCTCAGTGATGAAACTGTAACACAGTTGTTTGAAGGAAGCAGGTTATATCATGTTAACTTCAAAATTCATGCTTTCTCTTTTACAGGGAAGTGTTCCTACACAAGAACAGCCTAACACATGAAGGCTTTCCCATAGAAACAAGGTCAGAGCAGTCAGTGAAAAGTTCAGAATACAACCGACCTGTAACAACTTTGGCATTACTAACACACTCCTGTCATCATAAATTATGTAGGGGTTGTATGAACTGAAGTCCAGAAACAGTCTTCCTTTCCCACACTAGATTACATCTGGAGGCAAAAGGTGTCTCTCCTCTGTGTGGCATTGAACCTCTCTCCCTCTAAGAGATATCACACCCATGCGCCAGATAGATCACAGCACAAGTTTTTAGTCAGCTTTTTAGCTCAGTGATGTTACGTGTCTTTAAAAGTTGGATGGCTCAACTTAGTTATTTTCAAGACATAGAAATTCACTCTTCACTGCAGACTAGGGATCAAGTAAAAACCCCGCAAACAAGATAAATAACGTTGTTAGTATTAGCAGAAGCATAAAACCAAAATGCTGGAGGACCAGAAGTGCATTTACCTCATGAAGTAGCAGATTTTCAATCTGAATTCGTTGCAGTTCTCCCCATTGGCATCTCTATATGTATGCTAATTAAAGAAAGCTTTGTGTGCCTTGATTCAGTAATGTTTTTATTCACTGGAGACTGACACTAAAGCAGTTGAATTAAAATCAGTATCTTTTCTTCTAGAAAAAAACATAGTATGCTCTGATATTTCATTCACTTTCACAGCATCTTAGGGGACAAAGACTGTTTTCTGGCTGCCAACCTTTTTTCCCCTAGCAAAAATGCCTCTGTTTTACTATTCTGAATATTCTGTTGAAAAGTTTCTTGCCAGCTCTGGGTAACCAAATATGATAATACTTATGATTTAAGAGGTATAAATCACATGTAAGTGCTTAGATACCAATCATAGTTCATAGTACTTCCAGCCTGCTGTGATACATTTGAAAAGTTATCTCGGCCACATATTTGCAGTTATTCAAGGTTAATGAGTCAATATTCTTGTACATATGGAAAAACTCTACGAGCGGTGGCATAAAGAAGCTCATAAACTTCCACCTTTTAGGCTGAAAAAAAATTAACCTCTAAACCTTGTTTGTCACTAATTAATTGACATATTTTACATGCAGTCACAGAAACAATCTGCTTTTGATGCTGTAATGTGGATTTGCAACACTTTGTGAAAGGATATGTGGACAGGAGTTTGCCAGCCAGCTCTGTCGAAGGCAGATACCAACGATGCATTAAAAGAAAGGTTCTTGGCAAATGGCTGGAGCACTGGTTTCCTTTGTCATCTGCAAAAGACAAACAATGAGTTAACCACATTATAACAGAAGGGAGCTTTTATTCTTCAAGTAGAGTCAGTAGAAGGGATAAAAAGTTAAAATGTTGGCTCGTTGTCTACCAAAGAGGTAGGAAAAAAAAGCAAAGCACGAAAATGCTCCTTTAGCAGTAACTATTGCTAGAATGCAGTGATGGTTATTTAAATGGAGAAAAAACCCCAAACCAGTGTAGATAACTGGCCATAGCTAAAAACATAGGGCATGGACAGCACTATGCTAAATGTTATACGAAGACACTGCCAGTAACCCACAGAACAGATCCAAAATTAGCCCACCAAAAGGGAGGGGAGATGATTTATTTATAACCACTTCCAATATTTATTTTATTGCAGCTTTATAGCTTTAAGTTAAACAACTAAATTGTTAAAAGAGGAATCTGCATCAAGGGATGCAATGGCAAAGCACCTCATATCTGTGCCGAGGGTCCCATCTCCAGCTATCTTACAGAGAGCCTTGTGCCTTTGCAATGTAGACACTGAAACTACACAAAGGGTTATTCCCTGGCAGACTGGACTACCATTAGTCTTCCCCAACAACTGCAATGTTAGATTATTCTCTGTCTGTCATTAGAAGACTGTAGATGATATGATGTATGAAACAGGAACAACACATGGACTACACTTGTCAAGAGTGTGTGTCTACAAGAAGAGCCACTATTTCCAACAGCCAACAAGTGTATGGGCTCTGCCAATACTATCATTAAGTTCTAGAACAACAAGTTTGATGGTGGTCTACAGCAATGGATATTTGCGGATTCACCGCAGTCAGTAGCAAGATCTATCCATCCCTCAATTATTTAATCTCGCTCACCTTTAGATACTTGTTTCTCTCCACACAGGAAAAAAATTAATACCTCATTCCAATCAAGACCTGTCCTGTATCTCAAGACAACCTAAATGTAGCTTTGTGAATCAAAGTTCTACTTCAAAGCATTTAAGCCCATCCATGAACTCATCTGACTGCAATGTGATATATATCATGATTAATAGTGTTATGGATCAAGGTCTTTTTCATCACTTTCCCTCAGACCTCGTACATCGCATTTTAATAAGAGTAAAAAGATTACATGAGCCTTAAGTCATACTCTTGCCAATTATTGCATGATAATTTAGAAAACCTTTGAAAAAATGACTGGTCAGAAACACAGCTGTGTAACTACTCAAGACAATGCCAGAAAGAAAGATCAATGCCAGAAACAACTCCTTGAATAATTCAATGAAACATTTCTCTTGGTGAAGGCCAGCATTTTAAAAACCACCATACCCACCATTGTGCATTATCTCATTAAGAAAATTTAATACAGTATGCATGCGATTAAATTTCTGGCTTGTGTGATTCTGGGACAAATTGAAACGTGGAAAATTTTGCAGAATAGAAATGTTGTTTGCCAAGAGAAAGACTGGCTAAATTAGAGAACAGCAATATTTATAAGATTAATTTCAAGAACAAGAAAACAAAATATTGAGAAAGCATACCAAACATTTCAATACAAGTGTTCAAAAGCTCATCTAATGTTGCAGACTTCCCAAGTGTGTTTGACCCCATTGTCCTTTAATAGTTGTCAAAAAATAAGAGACATTTTCACCAAGTAGAAGGATGCTTCTTCAGATGTCTAGATTTTTCACTTTATTTTGCTGGTTGCATTCTTAGTTGGACTTCAACAAAAATCTGAGGAAAGCAAAAAAATCATAATTATATGACTATATGTTCTACTATAGTCTACTATATAGTCTACTATAGTCTACTATATGGAAGACTTATCAGGATGCAATATTTACAGTTCAACTCATCTTTTCTGCAAACTGCTTTTTCCCCACGATACAGAGCATGTGAAAGATTGCTGTAAGTTTTTCCTACATTCAAACTTGTGTTTCTAAGTGTTGTCCAATTGTTTGTCCACTAGCACAAAATAAATCCATAGCTAGGGTCACAAAACAGAAACCAGATGGTAAATGAGGGCATGCACATGCAATGACGCACATTTTGTTCAGGTCATTCTTATTTACACTTGATAAGTCACTTTTTGTAATAACCCTGCTTTTATGTTTTTAAGCATAACTATTTTTTCCCCTAAGGTTACTGGTTCATGGTAATGCTAATGGTCTTAATTGGCACAGACTGCATAAGTGTTTAATGAAGTTCATAGCAAACATTGAACTAGGAGGCAATTTTTTAAAGGACCTGAAGATCAGCCCCTGAAGCTTTTAAAAATAAATCTTCCCGCAGTAGCTGAACAGTCACTGTAAGCTGAACACATACAGAAACTTCTAAATTTAACTGTACATCTTCTATGCATTTAAATATCAAACATCCATTTACCTGAAGATGCACAGAATACTTTGTTACAAGTTTTCAGTAATAATTTTACAGGTTTTATTTAAAAAAGAGAAGAAATCAGTATTTTATTGTCCATCTGTGACTAAGCCCCCCTAGTGCCTGACCATAACAAGTTTTTGAAATGTGACAATAAAAAGTACATCCAACAACTTCTCTAGGAAAAAGAGCCAAGAGTAGAACTAAAAGAGTCCTTGAAGTGAAATAATACAGGAGTTTGGGAAATTCAGTTTCAGAAGTCATTGCCTGTAACATTAACTTTTTAATGTTGGTCATACAAAGCACTAATGAACTATATACCTGCTTTAATTCATCCACAAATACCAAACTTTTCAAACCCACCATATCACAGACCTTGTACTGCAAACTCAGTCTTGGTAGGACCGGCATCCTTCATCCTTTTTACTAACCCACCTTGACCCCTCCCAAAGGCCAGTGTTACAACGAGCACAGTGCTCTCTGAGCTAGGTCTCTGTCAGCTTGCAGCCCTGGAAACACCACTGTGGTCCAGCCACCCAAGTGACACCAGGCTATGGCAGCTTTGCTGGCCCTGCTGTTGCCACCTCAGCCACCAGCTCACACCCATGGTGCGGGCAGGTATGCTCCTTCTTCAGCAAAAGGAAGGGCCAACGTATTCTGACACAACTTCCACCTCCTGGAAGGAGGAGAAGTTGCTGCCCGTTCAGGATAGGTCTGCGCTACTGAGCTGACCATGCCCACACTGGCTGCCAGGTGCTGAGGCCAAACAGCAGAGGTTAGCCTGCAGCTACATCAGTGAAGTCTCTCAACCTCCCAGGCAGAGTTGGCATACGGAAGCTGCTCGTCTGATCCACTTAGGAGACCACTGACATGTCAGGGATGCTCTAGCAGTACAGTACACTGCATCCCAGCACCTGAAAAAGTGTCCTGCACTGAATATTTATCTATAGACCCAGCTTCAGAGTCCTGTGGTGTTGAGGCTGCTCTAAGCATGCAGCAGTGTTTTGCATGGAAGACCTTCAAAATATACCATTCAGCCAAGGATGCAAGCCTTATGAGGACAAGCTGAGGGAGCTGGGGTTGTTTAGCCTGGAAAAAGGGAGGCTGAGGGGAAAGCTTATCACTCTCTACAACTATCTGAAAGGATGTTGTAGTGAGGTGGAGGTCAGTCTCTTCTCCCAGGTAACAAGCAACAGAATGAGAGGAAATGGTCTCAAGTTCCACCAGGAGAGGAATTTAGATTGGATATTAGGAAAAACTTCTGCATGGAAAGGGTTTCCTTTGAAACAGGTTGCTCAGGGAAGTGGTTGAGTCACCATCCCTGGAGGTATTTAAAAAGCATGTGGATGTGGCACTTGGGGACATGATTTAGTGGTGAACTTGGCAGTGCTGGGTTGATAGCTGGATTTGATGATCTAAAAATTGTCTGTTCCAATCTAAACAATTCTATGATTCCATGCTATTATTTTTCAATGTGTTCCTACATCCAGGTTCTTTCTGATCCCATCCAACAATGGATATAGGCATGACGCTCTTTTCCTTGAAGCTGAGAGAAGGACCCCAGAGGACATAAACACAGCTCACCGAACAGTGAGTTTCTATACGCCAGTGCACACACAGTGCTGCAGGCCAAGTCAGCCGACAGAAAACTAGAGCAGAGAGGTACAAGCATTAAATCCTGCCCCTTCCTCCTAGCCAGAAGAAAGCACTTTCCTCTGAACTTGGTGGTGCAGAACCACTTCTTGATAGAACGCTGTTTTTCCAGAAATCACACAGAGCTCCTACCTGCCACGAATTGAGGGGAAATTAATCCTTTCACACATCAGTAAGCAGTCAGAGCACTCATCTAAGAAAAAGGGGGAGGTGGGTACACACCTGGGCTCTGGTCCTTGGCTTTGGACCCGTTCTCTGCATTGTAGCAGAAGGCATTGTAACAGCTAGCTCTAGGGGTAGGCTGGGCAGCCTCAGCCCTTCCTGCAAGAGCTGGGCTATCATGCAAACCCTAAAGTTTTCTGAAGTGAACCAGAGATATACGGCTCTCTAATTTACTGGTCAGGCCACACGAGCCAGGTTACCCTAGGTTCAGTCTCTTTCCAAGACTGTTTATTTAAAGTGGAAAAAAAAGTAAGTAGGGTATTTGCTTGGTTTACTTACTTTGAGAGTTAGCCAGCAGCTGAGCAGGGTTTTTCAAGATCACAGCTTTGCACTTTGGCAGCTAAGTTTTGCTAGAATCCCACCTTGGGCATGTTTTTCCTTTTTGTCCATCCCAAAATCCTCCTCCGAGTGCTTAAATTACTGGCGTGATTTTCACAGAGCCAGCTATCTAGCTTCATCTGACTTAGTGTTTTTTTCAAGAAGAAGAAAATAAAATAGTTTTTAATCAGCTCTTTAAAAAATAAAATGGAGAAAAGCTATTGCATTTTCTGTCTATCCCTTGAAAATTGCTGAGCATGAAATGTAGGAATGGAAAAGATTTGATCTGACTTTTCAGTTTTGTAAGTATTACCATCCTCCATAATAAAGCATAGAAGAGTATCACCTCTGTCTTCTCTTGACAACAGTAGTAGTAATCAACAAGTAATTCTCAATGTAAAATTGCAGGTTTGCATTGGTTTTTTTTTAATTATGCGACAACCACTTAAGTAGCACATACCTAGGTCCTGACATTACAGTACTATGCTCTAAACAGCCTATCTGACCCCTAAAGGTCAGAGTATTATTCTAATAATACTTCTAAAAGAAGAATAAAATATTTGCACTGGATGAAGAACTGGCTGACTGGGTCTGAGCCAAAACCTGCTATCACATCTCTTGACTGCAGACTCCAACAACCACAACCATTACATCATTTGTACGATTAAGCACCGCTGTTCTACTAGGACAATAAACAACTTGTCTGTATCGTGCCACAATAGTATCCAACCACACTTGCAGAGATGGATGAGTAGAATACAACTATAAATGTCATCCACATAAATTAAATAAATATTGATTTCCAAAGGGGTAGTTGGAATAACCTAGAGAATCTCTGCCCCCAGCTGCTTCCCAGTGTAACTCTAAAACATCTCATTGCCATCTGGCTGTTTCAGGAGGATTCGTTAAAGCTAGAAAAGAAAATCAGAACTCACTCAATATGTCAGGGAATGATTGCATACTATAATGAAAAATAAATTTCCCTTATAATGGAATTACAAATCCAGCTAGGTTTACTGATGTTAACAGAGGCTGTTAAGGACAGAGGAGGCACAGAATCCTCCACAGTCACCCATTCTCATTTCTTTATCAGGCCACTTAAAATTACAGTCTCTACTGCAAGTAACCCTCCCAGTGCCAGAAAGGGGTTTCAGAGCAGTAGTCAGGAATGGGTGAAGGATACAACAGCAGAAATATGATCGATATAGGCCTTAACACTCCCTTGAAGTTAACAGCTTTGTCTAAGAGACCCCCTTTATTTAGGTAGTAGATACAACCCTGTGAACTAAGTGAGGGTATTAGGCATGTCATGCTTTATTTCATGAAATATTTCTATTATGGGATGCACATTCCTACTAAGGGGGAAACCAGAAACATCTGTAGTGATGTGCTCAGAAGTTAGAAGTTTGTTATGGACTAAACTACAAAACAGAGAGTCCCTTCCAAGTCCTGCCATCACCCTAACTGCCACATGCATACAATTACTTTGAGCAGATGGTTTTCCTTAGTACTCTTGTGCAGTGTTATTGCATTTTTTGTTCAGCATTTTGAAAGTCTTGAGATGGTGCTATTGTGGACTGTCTTGACAGATAACTTAAAACAAACGTGTAGGCTGTGAGCTCCTGTGACAGATGTGGTCAAGTGTAATACATTAGTTTTTAGAAGAAGCAGGATACCCTGCCAGCAAACTTGTGGTCTTGTGCAAAAGCACCAAATGGTATGAACAGGGTGTCAGCATGAAGCCAAGTTTTAAATGTTGTCTTCTGTCCTTAGTAAAATCAAAAGACATCACTATTACTGCTGGAGACTACTAAGGGGACGTCCACACCTACAAGCTACAGCAGTTTAACTAATATTAAAATGTCGAGCCAGTACAAATCCCTGTGTGGGTGCTCTTACATGGATTTCAAGCAAGTTATATTGGTTACAGATTCAAGCTAACCCAATAATTTGGTTTTAAATAGGCTTAAATTTGACATACAGAGTAATATTTATTTAGTAAAATGAAATTTAAACAGCTTTTTAGCAAGGCCAAAGTAAATGTACATGTAGCATTTTCCCCATTAATTAAAAGTGAGCTATTTTCCTTCTACTTAGGGACAATAAATAGAGCCACACGCAAACAGTCCAACTTTGACACAGAGGCACCTCTATGAGTCTCA